GGCCCCATGGAGCTGCAGAGGCCGGCCTCGCCCCTGGGGGGCCTCTGGAGGCCTCGGGGGGGACCTCTGGCGAACCCCGCGGGCCTCGTACTTCTTGTTGGCACGCTCACGAGAGGATGCTTCTTCGAGAAGGGCGACGAAGAGGCTGCGTGTTCATACAGTCGAGGCGTTGACCTAAGGAACCCGAAATAAGGAGCGAGGCCCCTATTTCCCGTCGAAAACAGAAGGACAACCTGAGGCAAGCTGCGAAACAATCAAGGAACACCGAGCCCCTCCCCAACGAAAAGGGTTCCTTCTGCAGCGCCTCGACTGTAGAACGGCACACGATGAACAACTGCTCTTGTAGAGGCTGCAGGAGGCAAGAGGAGGCCAGGGGCAGGTGCAACCCGGGATCTCCGAAGGCCGGCGGGCCTGGTGGATGCACGTGGGCGCCGCGGCCGTTCCAGGGCGGCCAGGAGCAAACGACCCGCCGTCTTCCCAGGCCTGCCTGCCCCGAGAGGAGGGGGGCAGGAGGGGGGAGGAGGGGCGAGGATGAGATGCTTGGGCAGTGGCATGCGGATTCCGTCGTCCTGACGACGAGCAGTTTCGAAGTCTGTCCGCGGCTCTGGGCTTCGGTAGCTCTTCAAGCCAGGGCCAGACTCAGACCCGCAGCGACACGCTCGCGGCGCCCTCCGGCATTTCGGGCCACGAACCGACCCGCGCGAGACACCTCGCGGAAAGGCGAAATCGAAGGATCGTTTCGTAGCTTTCTGCTGAGGAGGAGGACGAGCAGGATGACGAGTAGGCGCGAGGATGGAACTCTTGGAGGTTCGCGGCGGGTTTCAAAGGCTACCGGCTGTACCGGAGCAGCTTGTCAGGAGTTCTCCCAGGTCTCCCAAGGTAAGTGGAGAGGCAGAGGAGGAGGGGGAGGCAAGACGCAACGGTCCTCCCGGCAGTGCCCGTACAGCGTGGAAGCGAGGGGGAAGGGAGCGACGATGGCAGCGACGACGACCACCACGATGACGACGACGGCGGCGGCGGCGGCGACGACGGCGACGACGGCCGCGACGACGGGGACGACGGCGGTGGCGGGCCCAGACCCCCGACGTCATGATTTTTTCATGACGTCGACCCCCCGAGGTCTCGACCCATTCCCCGGGACCAGTTTTTCGTCCTGAGTCGTTTTTTGACGGTCCCGAGGGCCGGTAAGGGCCCCCACAGGCCGAAAATAATGAAAAACCTCCCGTCGTGATTTTTTCATGACTCGAGGGGGTCTGGGGGGACGGCGGCAACGAGGGGGACGGCGGCGGCGGCGACGACGGCCAGGAGGACCACGGCGGCGGCGACGAAGCCCCTGCGCGCGGGAACCGCGCCGTGTCTTGCCGCGCTCCCGCGCGAGTCGCCGGCGGTGCAATCATAGTGGGAGGAGGAGTGGGAGGACCGGGGTGCGCCGAAGAGGGGGGCCAGGAGGAGGGGACGGAGGAGACGGAGGAGGAGGAGGAGAAGGAGAAGGAGGAGGAGGAGGAGGAGGAGGAGAAGGAGAAGAAGACGGAGGAGGAGGAGGAGGAGCAGGAGGCGGCGGCGGCGGAGGAGGAGGAGGAGGAGGAGAAGGAGGAGGAGGAGGCGGAGGCCGAGGAGGAGGAGGAAGAGGAGGAGGAGGAGGAGGAGGCGGAGGCGGATGAGGAGGAGGATGAGGAGGAGCAGGAGGAGGAGGAGGAGCTGGTGCGCAAAAGAGGGGGGTAGGATGGGTGCGCAAAAGAGGGGGGTAGGATGATGAGGAGGAGAAGGTGGAGGAAGGGACGGAGGCGGAGGAGGAGAAAGATGCGGAGGAGGAGGAGGAGAAGGAGGAGGAGGAGGAGGAGCGGGAGGAGGAGGAGGAGGAGGAGGAGCAGGAGGATGTACACCACACCAAGACAACACCCCAACGTCGTCCCCGATCTTCAAAAAAGTCCTGGGGTTGAAAAACAAACCAGCACTGGTAATGTAAAAACTCCAGTTTCCGATGCTCCCCCTCCCCCTCTCCCCGGGCGGCGCCTCCTGTGCCGCCCCCATGCGCGCTCCGCGCGCCAGCGGGGGGGGGGACCAGCCCCAATCCACGAAACCCGCGCAGACCTCCGGAAGTTTACGATTGCGCGTTTTCCTAAAGAGCCGACCTCGATACACCGACGCTTTTTCCGGCCCCTCACTGAGCTTCGCACAGGAAAGCGGATCCTGGTGTATACGGGATCCTGGTGTATACATCTGTCGCTGCCTCCCTGTGAGAACGGGGAACAATGTGTACACCACACCACCCCAACGTCGCCCCCGATCTTCCAAGAATCCTGGGACTGAACAACAGACCGCCGCTGGTAATGCAAATACTCCAGTTTACGATGCTCCCCCCCGCCTCCTCCTCCTCCTCCTCCTCCTCCTCCTCCTCCTCATCCTCCTCCTCCTCCTGCTCCTCTCTCTCCTCCTCCTCCTCCTCCTCCTCCTCCTCCCCCTCCTCCCCCTCCTCCCCCTCCTCCTCCCCCCTTCGCCCGACAGGTCGGTCTTGCCAGATCTAAGCGGGAGAGCACACCCTGCACACTGCGGCCGCCGGGCCCCAAGGTTGTGTGCCAGTGCTCCCCGGCGGCGACTGGCGGCCTCGTGGCAGCGCGGCCGCTGGGCCCTGCAGGGCGCAGCGTGCGTTCCATGGGTAGCCCGCCTCCTGTTCTCGGGGCGGGGCTCGCTCGAGGCCAAGCACGAAAGTTAACGGGCGAAGAACGGTATAAAATAAACTTTTTCGCTGTCGGGGGCGCCTGTCCCAGGGCGGCTGGAAAGTTTATACCCTTACGGTGGCACCGTAGGGGTGTAAACTTTCCAGCCGCCCAGGGACAGGCGCCCCCGACAGCGAAAAAGTTTATTTTATACCGTTCTTCGCTCGCTGAGAAAGAACTCGACCCTTGGACGCCCCCGAACACTGCAGAATTCTGAACACCTAAAAACAGCCGAGGGGCTTCCGGGCCAGGGATCAGTTCTCCTGCGAAGATTCAAGACGATCCGAGCACCCCCTGGAAAGCTCGACGGAGCGCAGCTGCTCGAAGCCAGCCCGAGGCGAGAACACCTCCAAGAACCAACGAACACTTCCTCCATAACCTCTTAGTCCACAATTTGCGGTTGACAAGCTCCCTTTAACGGCCTGGGACCGAAACCGACGGACCTGGATCCGCAAACATGACGGCCGCGACGCCCTCTCGCGAACCGAAAACAGCCAATTCCTTAATCGACGCGTCAGGGTAGGAGGTCTATCAGCCTCCGGCACAATTACGCCCCCTTCGACGCCCCCAGCACTGGTAAGTATAGGAGGAAGAAGAAGAGCAGCCTCAGTCCCTGCTGCGCTTCTGCCTTTGAGGGGCGACGTTCGGGGGGGACGAGCCCAGGGTGGGACATCGACCTGTAATCGGCGATACATGGCCGACAGACCGGCCCTAGGCCCCCGACGGCGAATCTGGACGTTCATGGGCGGGGAGGGCTCTCCGGCCCCCATCGGCGATGATTGGGCGATTGGGGGTCGATACGTCCCCTCCTGAGCCTATTCCCCCCCCTACGATCGAAAACTCTTGCTTGGCGTGTCGCGCCCGCGGCCCTGGCGACACCCTATGCCTTGCAGGCGGCTTGTGTGCGGCTCCGAGCCGCGGGGCGCCCGGCTGGGAAAGACTCGGGACGCTGGCGCTCGGAAGTGCGGACGTGGATGGCGCGTCGCGCCGAGAGGAGGAGGAGGAGGAGGAGGAGGAGGAGGAGGAGGAGAAGGAGGAGGAGGAGGAGGAGGAGCAGGAGCAGGAGCAGGAGGAGGAGGAGGAGGAGGAGGAGGAGGAGGAGGAGGAGGAGGGGGGAGAGGGGGAGGAAGAGGAGGAGTAGGAGGAGGAGGAGGAGAAGCAGGAGGAGGAGAGCCGGAACAAGGAGGAGGTGGGCCAGAACCGGCGGCGCGACACGCTAAGCCAGAGCTCCCGACCTTAACGTGGCCCCCGAGCCTCTTGCCGGGCTGGCCCTCGTCGTCCTCCGGCGCGGCCCAGGCGACCCGCACCTTCCAGGTGCCGGCCTCGCCGCCGCGGCCGGCGGCCGCCGCCACCGCCGCTGCGCTCGTGCCCGTGGTCGCGGTCGTCGTCCCCGCAGCCGCCGCCGGCCCCAGAGCTCCGACGCAGCGGAAGCACTTCGTAGTTTTGGGGCGCCTGGGGCCCTCGCGCGGCCCCTGGACGGTCGGAAAACGGGCACGAGGAGCAACCGGTGCCAGGGAAGTGGTCCAGAGCTGCGGGGGGCTCGCATTGAGAAAACCAAGGCATCGGAGGTCTGGGTCGTCGTCGTCGTTAGTGCAGGCGGCGTCGCCGTAGGCGTCGTCCTTGTCCTCGTCGACGCTGCCGTCGCCGTCGCAGTCGCCGTCGCCGTCGCCTTCGCCGTCGACCTCGCCCTCGCCCTCGCCCTAGCCCTCGCCCTTGCCCTCGTCGTCGTCGTCGTCGTCGTCGTCGTCGTCGTCGTCGTCGTCGTCGTCGTCGTCGTCGTCATCGCGGAGGGCGTCGGCTGCCGCGGCGTCGGCGGCCGCCTCGTGGCTGCAGCTGGTGAAGCCGCACGCCTTGGCCCGTGGTCGCGCTGACCGTCCCGAGGGCCAGCGAGGGGGGGGGAGGCCAGGAGCAGCCAGGCAGACCCCCCCAGGGAGCGCAGTCGCCATCAAGAGGAGGAGCAGGAGGAGGAGGAGGAGGAGCAGGAGGAGGAGGAAGAGGAGGAGGAAGGAGGAGGAGGAGGAAGGAGGAGGAGGAGGAAGGAGGAGGGCGGAGGAGGAGGAGGAGGAGAGGAGGAGGAGGAGGGAGGAGGAGGAGGAGGAGGAGGAGGAGGAGGAGGAGGCGAGGGAGGGGATGAGGAGGAGGAGGAGGCAGGAGGAGGAGGAGCAGGAGGCGTAGGAGGAGGAGGAGGAGGAGGCGGAGGAGGAGGAGGAGGAGGAGCAGGAGCAGGAGGAGGAGGAGCAGGAGGGGGGGGGGGCGCCCCGGTGCCCCCCGCACGGCCTGCACGGCTGCTCCGCTGGCCCCCCCGCCCCTCCCGCAGCCCGCGGGCTCTCGGTGGCAGCCGACCACGGCCCTCGGGCCTTGACCCTCTCCACGAACTTCGGCAGCATCCCCTGCAGCACCTTGGGGGGAGGGGCAACGAGGTGCCGACGCCGCTGCCCTCCACGGGCTTCTCTCCGGGGGCGCGCTCCCGGGGGGGCTCGGCCAACGCGGTGCTGCTCGTTTTCGCTCAGCTTTCTCGTCTTCCCCCGTGTGGCCTCCTCTCCGCCCCTTCGCTGCCAAACGAGGTCGAAACGGAAACGGCCCACGGAATGGCCAAAACACCGTTGAGGTCGAGCACTGGGTGCGGCAGCTGTGCGGTCGGACCAGAGCTGTGAGGAGCGAGGAGACCCCGCCCGTTGCCACAAGGGCTCTCCAGCGACGAGCGGCGGGCATCGCTGCATCGGTTCTGCCTCCGGGCGGCACCTCCGCCAGAAGGATCGGCGCACCCGCCGAGAAGGTCGCCGTCGCCCCGCGCACGGCGTAGAACCAGGACTCCGCAGTGACGCCCTCGCCCCAGGAGGCCACGAAGTAGGTGGAGTCCGTGAGCACGCGCTTCGGGAAGTCCTCGATCTCCCGCGAGAGCACCTCGAACGAGACGGTCGCCTCGCACCTCGGCGCGGCGCGCGTACGCTTGGCGCCGCAAGGAGGGCGTGCAGCACCGACCTCCGCAAAAAGCACGCTGTCCCTCCAAGAGAAGGCTTCCTCCGTGACGCTGTCCCTGAGAGGCGATCCCCCTGCGATGGGGGCCCTCCGTGCGCGCTGTCCCCCAGGCAGGCCCCCTCTCCCCAGGAGGGGGGTGCGGGGGTCGCGTGTCAGGAGTGGGCCAGCGGCGCCACGTCGCACGCTGTCTCTGCAAGTGAAGGGGCCCCAGGACACACCAATAAATACATGCCCCGTATTTTCCCATATTTTCTGGGCTTCTGTCTTCCCGCCCACTCCCCATACTTTCCTGCATGTTCTGGGGAATCCAGGATTAATTGTGTCTGTGTGTTTCTTTTCCTCCTGAGCAGCGCCAAACCGCACACTGGGGGTAGGGGTAATCAGCAGGGGGGGGGAAAGAGGTGCACCTCTCGTGCACCCGCGGGGCCCATCTTGGGCCACTCTGTACTGCCCCATGCCCAGACCCCCGAAGTCATGACTTTTTTTCATAACGTCGACCCGAAGAGGTGTCGACCCATTCCCCAGGGCCGGTCTCTCATCCCGAGCTGTTTTTTGACGCTCCCGAGGGCCGGTGAGGCACCCCCTGAGGCCGAAGACAGCGGAAGCATGCCCGTGCCAATGCTTTGAGGCACGGGCTCCGGATCTCTCGACCACTTCCCCGGGACTGGCTTTTCACCCCGAGCCGTTTTTGTCACGCTCCCGAGGCCAGGTGAGGGCCCCGAGCGGCCGAGAACGATGAAAAGCATCCGTCCCCCATTTTTTGAGACGTCACAGAGGTCTGGGATTGCTGCAACCCTCGATGCCCTCCCCACATTCATCTCCCTTGCAGGGCCATGGAAGGACCTTCAAAAGGGCATGTCCACACTTTACGAGCGGGGCGCGGCCAGCGAAAGCAGCCAAGGATGGGCCGACGGGGAAGGACGCAAGTGCTCAAGCCCGCCACAGGGCGGGACGCGCTAGTCTGAGCCCCTGCTGGGCCTGAAGCCGCCGATACCATGAAACTGGTCACCCCCAAACTTCAAAATATGTTTTCATTTGTTTCTCCTCCGACTGTCAATCGTGGTCGTGGCATGCGGAGAGCACAGGCAAGGAGGCGACAAGGGGGGGAGGCGGAGGGGGAGAGGAGAGGACGCGGGGCACTGTTTCTTGAAAAGGGGAACCCAAGACGACAGGATGGTTGGGAACAATCACGCAGCACACATAACCACCAGAACTCGCACATCACACACCAGCAACAAAACACACACACACACAGCACACACACAGAGCAAACATTGCTGGTGTGCTGCTGTGTTACGCCTTGAGATGGTGACGGTGATGATAGTCACAACGACGATGACGATGATGATAATGACGACGACGATACCGACGATGACGACGACGATGAAGACGACGATGATGATGGCGATGACGATCGCGACGACGGTCATGGTGAGGATGATGATCACGACGACGACGACGACGATGACTCCGACAACTCCGACGACGACGACGACGACGACGACTGAAGGCCCAGTCGTACCGAACAACATCGTCTAAAGGTCCCGTACGTTGCTTGTCCCCAGCAACTGAAGGATTACATGTGCACCGTCATGCTGCAACAGAAAACAGAACAGCCCAGCAAACCCGGAAATACGACAATTGTGTGTTATTGCTGACGTGTTATAGGATGTTGTTGATGTTTGTTGATGGTTGGTGATGTTTGATGTGGTTTGATGGTTTTGATGGCCTTGCTGCGCGTCTCAGATGTTATTGATTGTGGCTGCGTGTTGGTGTGGTTTGATGTGTTCTTGTTTTTGGAATTGAGACGTAGTGGCTTGATTTTTCGGTGGC